CGTTGCATGGGTCGATATGTGGTTGAACAGAATGACGTACCTTTATTTGGATTGGGCTGGTGCATTGAGTTTAATCTGGAAATGCCACCAGGTTTAAAAATATGTCAAGTGACTACAGATCAAACCCAACAACAAAACACAGTGGAGCAACACGAGGATATCAAGAGCATACTAAACTAATTTAAGGACCTGTTTAATGGAACTTTGGGAGAAATCCGTGGACACAGCGTACAAATTTACATGGATCCAACAGCAACACCAAAAACATTCAGGCCTAGACCGGTTCCGATTGCATTACAAAGCCAGGTAAATGCTGAAATTAACAGATTAATAACAGAAGGTGTTTTAGAACCGTTAGACACAAACACAAACATAGAATAGACAACACCTGTAGTGATTGCTGTAAAATCAAACGGAAGTGTAAGGATTTGTGGAGATTTTCGTGTCACAATAAATCCTCATGTACAAACAGATATCCACTACCCCGATTTGTATTTGATAATATCAACGCACAAAGGATATTTTGCATATAAAAGGTTACCTTTTGGTATATCTTTTGCCCCATCATATTTTCAACGAACTATGGACACGATATTATCAGGAATAGATGGAACTATTTGCTACTTGGATGATATATACTTATAACAGCGCCAGATAAACAAACTCATCTGAAACGAGTTGAACAAGTGCTTTAACGATTATTGGATGCAGGCATAAGAACACATCCAACAAAATGTGCCTGGCTACAAAACAATGTAACAATTTTGGGGCACCAAATTGATAAAGAAGGTTTACACCCAACAAACGAACACATCAAAGCGATAAGAGAAATGCCAACGCCAACAAATGTATCAGAGCTAAGGTCATTTTTAGGATCTATCACATATTACAGTAAATTCATACCAAATCTACAAGTAATATGCTCTCCACTACACAGGCTACTAAAAAAAGAAATCAAATGGGTTTGGACGAAACAAGATACAAACATTTTCAATGCGCTAAAGCAACAACTATCTTCCAACGACACATTAGTGCATTATGACCCCACAAAACAATTACTTTTAACAACGGATGCATCAGATAGAGGACTGGGTGCAGTACTTTTTCACAAAATGAATGGAAATTTAAGACCTATAGGATATATTTCAAGAACATTAAAAGAAGTAGAAACACGATATGCAACAATTGATAAGGAAGCTTTGGCCATAATATACAGCGTGACCAAATTTCACCAATATCTTTATGGCAGTCATTTTACTTTATTGACTGACCATAAGCCTTTAGAACGAATTTTCGGTGAAAAAAGAAACACACTAAAAATAGCAAGTACAGACTCCTAAGGTGGGCCATGATATTGGATAACTACGATTATATAATCAAATATCAACCTGGAAAAGAAAACGCTCCAGCAGATGCTTTATCAAGACTACCATTAGTCAACAGCGACACATCAGACAACGAAGAGATTGGACTACCGAAACGAGGACATTTACTTAACCTAAGATTACAACACCTACCAATAACAAAAATAACACTAAGAGACAAAACAGAAGCAGATCAAACATTAAACAAAGTTATGAAGTACACACAAACATATTGGCCAGATAAACGAAATTTATCACAAGACTTGTTGAATTATTATGAAAAAAGGGAGGAACTATCAGTGGAAGAGAACATTCTTTTATGGAAGGGATCATTATGTATTCCTAAGGCATTACTGAACCAAGCTTTGTAAATGTTACATGATGGACACCCTGGAATGTCAGCTATGGAGTCCATGGCAAAATTACACATATTTTGGCCAAATATAAATTTGGACATAATCAATTTTGTGCAAACTTGTACATAATGCCAAGAGTCTAAACAAAACACAACAGAAGTACCGTTGTATCCTTGGTACGGACCACCTGAACCTTTGGCCAGGGTACACATTGATTTCGCAGGACCGTTTGAAAACAGTTTTTAATCGCTATAGATGCATATACGCGATGGTTGGAAGTAATACCAATGAAGAACGCAACTTCTCAGAAAACTATCGAAGTACTACGTGATATGTTTGCAAGACTGGGAATACCGAAATTTATTGTTTCCGACAATGGACCACAACTAACATCTGTCAAGCCAACGGTATTAAGCACATAAAGGTGACCCCGTACCATCCAAAATCGAATGGTTTAAAGAACGAATAAATGCTAGTAATAAAGAAGACGATCTAAATCTACGATTAAACCAGTTTTTAGTTAATTTTAGAAACACAATCAAAAAATCCTCAGGAAGGGCTCCAAGTGAACTCATGTATGGGAGACCGCTAAGGACAATTTTTGACAAAATATATAAATAAAGCCAGATGTAATGAAAACGTAAGAAATCGAGACAGCAAAACAAAAGGCATATCATCGAAAAACAAAAGAGATTTCATTTGAAGTAAACCAACCAGTATGAGTAAACAATCCACTTGGAAAGGGTTCAATACCTGGAATTATAACAAACAAAACTGGAACATATTCGTACTGGGTTGATTTGGAAGGAAAAACATAAAGAAAACATGCAGAGAAAATGAGACCAAGATATCAAGAAAACGAGCACAAAAGACCAAATGAGAGTACCCAAAGTTTGGAAATTGTTGATGAGACATTAAATACCAGCAATTTTCTGGAGGAAAATCAAGAACAAACCCCTGAAATGACACCGAATAGACAACCGCCTGAAATGACGGAGGTACTTTCAAACCCCTTGATTGATAAAGAACCTAATATGGAACAACCCGTAACACCCCGTCGAAATCCTGCCAGAGAACGAAAATTGCCAGCACGTTATCGAGACTAGACAAAGTTTTTTTTAACAAAGGGAGGAATGTGGTATGGCAACATCGCATTAGACCCGGGAAGAATTGAACGTGGCAACGCGGCGTAAGCTGCTCTGTGGCTAATAGGTTGGCAACACTGATCTTAAAGTGAACAATTTGTAATAACGTTTTTTTACTTTTTAAAACTTAAATATAGTGAGTTTTACAACAACCTGCTGTTTTTCAATTACACTCTCGTTCTCACGAAATACAACAGTTCCCAATAACATGCGTTTAAGTAACCATGGTTGCCTAGTGATCGAATCCACTATTTTCCTACCTGACTGTTAAGAACCTTATCAACTTCGTTTGATTTAATTGTATCCCCGCCTGCCTTTACCAAGTATGTTATGAGTTTTATCAATCTAAACTTACTTTACGTTGGCTAATCAATACTTATTTTTAATTAGCCGCAGCACTTTCGTATTTACAAAACCATACAATACAATCTTATTTTTATTATCTATGATATCTATTTCTAGGTTTAGTTTTAAACTAAATCAATTTGTTGAGAGATCAGTGTCAGGCGTTGCCGATGGGGCCAGCCATACGTTCTTTATACTCATAGTCATAATTAAAAATATTGTGAGTTTGTGACTAAAAAATTAAATAGGAAAAATAAAACGAGTTTCTGGAAATTGTCTATCGGTTGTCAAAGTCGAAATCTAAAGAGGCTAATAAAGTTCTTTTTTTAAAACCTGTTTACCATAAAAACAAAACTGGCCAATCCACAATGTCCCCACATGTTCTAATTTTTTCATGTTTAAAAAAACACTACAAAATGTTAATTAACAAAAGATTACAATTTTATAAAATTTTCCCAGGAAGACTGCTTTAAACGTATGTTCGGTTTATTAACTTCAAATTTTAGATTCATTTATAGTTAACCGAAACCTCTGGTCGTATTTTAGTAGGTAAGTTGTTCTATTTATTAGTATTGTTTTGTACTTATCTTGTTCTCTTTTATATTGCTTATATTATTAAACTATACAGTGTATAATTTGGGCTCTAAATTAAATGGATTTTTTATATTTTTTGTAGATTTTTATTTGGAATTCATGTAAAGCTTTTTAACGAAGGCTAGGTTTTTTTCCCAAGAGTGCGTTGGTATTATTTAGCCTCTTGAACACACCCTGAGACAAGCTGGATTAGCCACCCAGCCTTCTTGCCATCTAGAGTCTTTGCACCCCACTTTTGTTGTTTTGTTACAACGGTGACCGCTCTCGATTGTACCTGCGGCACAGTCTGTGCTCTGCGGCTAACCTTCACTGTATATCATATAATTGCTAATGGGCACCCCGCATCGTGCGTGATCGGCCACGGTCGTATACCTATAAGAGCTTTAATAAATGGATTTTGAATAGCAACGGAATCTTCGGACGCGTAGCCTCCTCTATTACGTATTTAACTTTGTAAGTCCGATTATAAAGCAAAGTAAAATGGTTAAAATTGGCTGACCCTGCTTTGCCTTGTTTGACAAATTGTTGTTTATTTATTGTTTAAAATAACTACAAAAAATATTTTAATCATGCACAAAATAAACTACTTTATTCAAATCGATTAGATGTTAGTCGGCAGCTGCAGTCGACATTAGTAGTTCGAAAATGCTGACTAATGAATTCACAGAAAAATAAGGATCTAAATTGACTTTCTATTTTTTACAATCTTTAACTTATTTTCAAAAAATGACAATTTATTTTCAAAATCACCCAAATTTCGTCCCATTTATTGGAAATATTGGAGTGTATTATCGAAACCCTATCCTTATAACCAGCTTATAGGTATCATGTTTTTTTATCCCATATAATTTTTTTTTTATATTTATAATAGAATAAAACCATAAATTTTGGTTGATTATGCAAACATATTTGAGAAATAAAGAGATAAAGATATTATAATATTATCATATATAATATATGATATATATGATATATTTATACTTAATATAAATTTTGACTTATTGTCCTCCCATTTAGTAATATTTGCAAAACAATAATGTTATGCAGAAATTACTAAATTCACGTTTACTTGAAGACCACGATTGCCAATTTAATTTAAATGTCATGTTTAAATTGTTAAATAGGATCGAAAAACTTATTAGCAAAAAATTAAGTCATTTTATATGATGGCACCATAATTATATTAATGTTTTTAGATTCAAATCCACAAAAGTGTGGAAGAACTTTTTAATTTAATTCCTCAAAAATATTGGACGTCGGAGTATGGCGGGGAGGCTGGATCGATACCGGAATTAATGGGTAACTATTAATTTATTTAAATTTAACCATAACAAGTATGGTCACAATACTCCCTTTTATTTTTATTAATTTATTATTCAACGCGTGCCTACTTTTTTTTCTTTAATGATGTTAAGTGTTTGTGCAGATTACAAATTAAATGTAATGTCAGTAGATAATTTTGTAAGCAAAAGAACATTAAAGTTATACAAAGTCTATGAATAGTTCATTAAATGATCGTTAAAACTAATTAACCTTGATTGTTATTGTTGACTTATTAGTTTTTTAAGTAGCACATTTTACAAAATGTACAATTTATATTTATACATAATCGTAAATAAACAATGCATTGCTTTTTTTAGATAAGTGGGAAACATTTATCGAGTCAAATGCATCTTATTTTATTGAATGCGATAAACGAGTGTGCAATGAAGAACATAGAATTGGTGATGTTGGCAAAAATGAAATGTTTGGAAATAATGGTACTTTTAAATCAATCAATTTGGATTAATGCAATGTAATATATGGTATTCCATAATTAAATTCGATATAGTATACAGTTTATATTATTATACATGGAGTCTCCATGATGGAGACCAAAGTTATCTTCTTACCATTGCTACCATTTTAACTCCCTTATTATTGGAGGTTATATAAGCAAATTGGAAGATTTTTTTTCTGATTAAAATGGTAAAAACAACTGACTGTCGGGTTTCTAAAATATTCACAAAAATAATATTTGTTTATTAGGACACTGTATATTTTTAAATATTTTAAAAGAAAATTTAATTGGAGACAAAAAATTATTATTGCATATTATGCAATGCATAACTACCCTAAACTAAACTAAACAATTAATAATCAATTTAACTTTTTGATGGTTGTTGAAATAACCAAATTATTACTTTATTTTAACAAAAATCAGAAAGTTCAAGTGCTTAAACAATTTTTAGGTTTTGTGTTTCAAATTACTTAAATTGTGTAATATTTTTTTAAATGTTATTTTTGTGAATATTTCGTAAACCCGGCGCACAGACAAGTATTTTGAACTAAAACGGGGCCAAAAATATTTGGGCAATTTTTCTGTTTATCATGTCCATAAATGATGTCACATACTTAGGGGGGAGGGGGGTCGACGGAAATGTGACAGTTTGTGACGGCCGGCCCGTTCCTGGGGTGTCTGGCGCCTACGTGCAGCATTCTTTGGTGCGCCCCTTTTATATTTAAATATAATACATTAAATATTTTAATTTAAAGCCATCAAATTTAAAAAATATATCACAAAAAATATTTAGTAATAAAAATACTCCAAAGAAAACAAAAAAAACATATAAACAATATAATAACTACAACTGGTTCTTATTGACGTACTCTCTAAAAATGAATCAGTCAAAAATTACTAGTTTTCAAAGTGAAAAAGCAGTCACTAATAACTGTAGTCCACAGAAATTTGTATCCCAGACATTTAAAACTAATTATTTTGTAAAATTTTTCCCTGAATCCGAATAGACCGTCAAAAATTATGAAAGTAGACCACGTTTTAAAATAATTAATTTCATATTATATGGAAAATTGACTATATCACAAAAACTGTTCTACTTTTATAACTTTTGACGACATTTTCGGTTTCAGCGGACAATTTTACATAGGAGTTGACTGCTAAATGTCCGGAGTACAAATTGCTGTTGACAATAATTACACTGCCCCACAAAAAAATCGATGTCCTGGCTGGGGATCAGACCATGTTTACCATATGTTTTTGGTGTGGAAGCCGAATTCGGAGCCCGTTTAACCCCATAACGTAAGTGTTGTATCGTTGTGCTTTCAATGATATAATTAATATTGCTTCAAATAATATCTTAATTATTTTATTATTGTACTTTATAAACTAACTATGTTTATGTGTTGCTGTATGCGGAGTGGCGTTGCTTTTCTGGTGCCTTTTCGTTGGTTTCGTTAGTTTTCAAAGTGAAAAAGCAGTCACTAATAACTGTATTCTACAGAAATTTGTATCCCAGACATTTAAAACTTATTATTTTGTAAAATTTTTCCCTGAATCCGAATAGACCGTCAAAAATTATGAAAGTAGACCACGTTTTAAAATAATTAATTTCATATTATATGGAAAATTGACTATATCACAAAAACTGTTCTACTTTTATAACTTTTGACGACATTTTCGGTTTCAGCGGACAATTTTACATAGGAGTTGACTGCTAAATGTCTGGAGTACAAATTGCTGTTGACAATAATTACACTGCCCCACAAAAAAAATCGATGTTCTGGCCTGGGGATCAGACCATGTTTACCATATGTTTTTGGTGTGGAAGCCGAATTCGGAGCCCGTTTAACCCCATAACGTAAGTGTTATATCGTTGTGCTTTCAATGATATAATTAATATTGCTTCAAATAATATCTTAATTATTTTATTATTGTACTTTATAAACTAACTATGTTTATGTGTTGCTGTATGCGGAGTGGCGTTGCTTTTCTGGTGCCTTTTCGTTGGTTGGGTTGGCTGCCTGCGCGCCACTTCGATGGCGGTATATTTAAATAATATAACATCCCGTTTGCTTTTAACTACTCAAGGTTATAGTCTTTAAACTTTGATGGTAGCTTTCTTTCTCTTATAGGTCTTGTAAAGTTGGCGGTTTCCTTTTCTATTATGGGTCTTTGAACAGTGACTTCTTTTTCTTGTATAATATTTCCGCTTTCGTTTTCGTTAAAATCTTTCGTCGCGTCCTCTTCGTTATTTTATTGAAGAATAATTCATTTGCATTCGTCTTTTTTATGTGTATAGAATTTCTCTTATATCCTTTGCCATTTTGTTCTACTACGTAGTTTCTGGAATTTATTTTTTCTTTAATTTCTCCCGGTTCCCAAACTTCTTCTGGTTTTTTTCTTAAAATATACTTTATCATTTACTTCTGACTCTTCAATATTGTTCGTCTTCCTATAACATGGTGTCAGGTGTGAATTTGTGTGTGAGTCTAGTTTATTAAGAAAAGCATAAGATAGAAGGTGACATTGAAAATTTTAAATTTTTTAAGAGGCAATGGCAGAATTATCTCTTAGCAAGTGGTATAAACAATAAACCAGAACCTGAAAAAATAGCAATACTATTAACAGCAATAGGAGAAGATGTTTTTAGAAAATACGAAAATTTTGAAATATCTGAACCAGGCAAAGCTAATGCAAATGATTTGCTAGAAGCAATAGGCAAAAATCTAACACCTCAAGTAAACAAACGCTATGAGAGAGCAATTTTTAACATGGCAAAGCAGGAAGCAAATGAAACATTTACTGAATATTTTCATCGTTTGCAAAATTAAATTAAAAATTGTCAATATGGTACGTTAGAAAAAGATTTAATAATGGATAAAATCATTTATTCAATAAAATACATGAAACTAAGAGAATCATTATGGTTAGACAGAAACATAAGACTTGAGCAAGCAGTCGACAAGTGCAAAGCTAAAGAATTATCTAAGCAGCAATTGGATAATATTACTGAAAAAGACGAAGTCAAGAAAATATACAAAAAAACATATGAAACGAATGAAAAGAAATATAATAATAGGTATGAAAATAAGAAGCAAGCAAGCAATAGCAGCATTACAAAGCAAGAAGAAAATGGTAACTGCAAGTAATGTGGTTGGAAGCACGAACCAATGAAATGCCCAGCAAAAGGTCAAACATGCAAAATCTGTAAGAAGAAAGACCATTATGCAAAGGTATGTTGGCTGCCTGCGCGTCACTTCAATGGCGGTATATTTAAATAATATAACAGTCAGGTTTTCAAGATAACCCCAAATCCAAGCTAATAAGCCTTTTTGAAACCAAAAACCTTATAACCGAAGCTGTTTTTTCACAATAACTTTATACCCTTTTATATTAAAACCCATAAATCCATAACCAAAGAACCCAATGATAATAACCACATAATAATGATAACCCAATAATAATAACCACATAACTCAAGCAATTGAACTCAACCTATTATCACGCAATCTGTCCAAACCCAATAATCCCGTAAACGAAGCTGTTAATTCACAATAACCTTATGATCTGATATATTGAACCCCATAACCCCATAATCCACCCCCAGTAGTCATGTCTCCGGACAGTATAGACGACTCTGCAGCCTCGTGCTGTTTTAAATGTGAAAACAGCATAATTGCTGCAGAACTTATTAAGTGTGATGGTCTTTGCAGTAGATCTTTTCATAGTGATTGTGCTCAAGTGAAAAATTCTGTATTAAATGCAGTTAATTCATCCAAGCAAGTAAAATGGTTTTGTGATGCCTGTGTGTGTTATACTCAAGCAAACATCATTCAAGAATATTTAGAAAAATTTACCCAACTTGCTGAAGCAAAAATAAATGATGGTATAATCAAAATAGAAAACAGTGTTTTAAATAATATAAATGGGAATATAACTAATAAATTTAATTTATTAGAAGAAAAAATCGATAACATTGTAAAAAATTCTAACAAAAAAACAATCGCAGAGGTTGTTAAATTAAATCTGCCACCAAAATCACCGTCTGTAAATCAAGGAAACAAAGTCGATGATAGTAATCTACCCAAACAAGAAAGGGCGCTAGTAAACCTGGCGGAAGGAAAAAATCAACAGAGGGCGCCAGAGCAAACGTCAACAATTTCTGTCAACCCACCAAATAACAACAAACAACCAAATAAAATACCTTATAAGTCTGCCAAGAAAATCGCGAAAGGAAATAATGAAGGAAATGAAGGATTTAAGGGCATCTCTCCTAAGGCCTGGCTCCATATTTCCAGAGTAAAAATTGGAGTAACAAACGATATGATCGTAAGTCACATAAAAAATAAGTTAAGTTTAAATGAAGAGGACATAGTGGTAAAACAAATCCAGGAAACTGATAGACAAAAATGCTTTATGATAGGGGTACCATTTGTCAACATAGACGATGTTTACAAAACCGATTTTTGGCCAAATGGTGTTGGATACAAGCGCTTTAGTTTTAACTATAACAATAAGGGAACTCAAAATATAGAAAAACAACCAAATACTTTTTTAGGAGTAAAGTAAATAAAGAATTTAGACTTATGCACTTAAATATCTGTTCTATTAGAAACAAAATTACTGAGTTGGAGTCTTTTTTGGCCAACAAAGAAGCTAGGTATGATGTACTATGCTTTACTGAACATTTTTTAAATGAAGATGAATGCAGCAGTGTGTCTATTGATGGTTACTACTGTGCCTCTTTTTTGCAAGAAAAAATCACATTCATGGTGGTTCTATAGTGTTTTGCAAACAGTACATATCAAGTGTTCCAATAAACCAGTTAAACATTCTTTCTGTTGAAATGCATTGTGAAATAACAGCGGTTGAACTAAAAAATCTAAGCTGCATAATTGTGGTTGTCTATAGACCCCCCAGTGGAGATTTTAACCTATTTGTGGAGACATTTACAACCATTCTAGACTATTTACTACACAGAAACATCAATGTGATAATATGTGGGGATTTTAATCTGAATTTTAATAACAAAGACAATAAATGTGAATTATTTAGTGAACTTGTACAAACTTACGGTTTTTTTCAGACAATTTTTGATAATACCAGAAAGGGAGCATGTTTAGATAATATCTTTTTAAATTTTAATGAAACAATTTTAGTTCAAGTGTTTTTAATCCAAATTTGTCAGATCACTGTGCTGTTACTGTGGATACTGTTCTGGAAACTCCAAAAGATACTATAAAACAAATAGCATATAGACCTTTTACTGATCAGGGTATTTTTAATTTTTACCATATTCTGTTAAATGAAAATTGGAACTTTTTAGGTGAGTATTGTGATATAAATGTTAAATTTAATATTTTTATAAATTATTTTATTAATATAATGAAGGTGGCATTCCCAGAGCAATCAAGAACTATAAAAAAGTCTAAAAAAATAATGTGGTTTACTCAAAAAATAAAAAACATGAGAAATCATTTAAAATTTCTAGTTGAATTCCACGACAACTATAGGCTACCTGAAGTTGCAACTTACATTAAAACATTTAGAACCAAATATAGAAACGAAATAAGGAATGCAAAAATTCAAGCAAACTCTACATATATTATGAAGGCAGATAATAAAATCAAGGCATCCTGGGAGGTATTAAACTCTGTAAGAAGAAAAACTGTGGCTGAAGATTTGGAAACAAACTTAAAAGCAGATGATATTAACGACTTTTTTCTAAGTATTGGGGAAGGCGTTGTTGGCATGCAAAATCGGGGTATTATTGATGCTGGAGTATATCTTCAAAACTTTAACAGAGGGGTTTCTGCAGAGGATGGTTTTTGCTTCAGAGAGGTCACCCTTATTGAGGTAAGAAATGCAATTGAGAATTTAAAAAACAAAAACAGTAAGGATTTTTATGAAATAAACTTACTTCTTATCAAGAGAGTCAAAAATTGTCTAATATCAGTACTAACTAAACTGTTTAATGAATGTCTGTTTCAAGGTATTTTTCCCGATTGTTTGAAGATCTCCAAAGTTATACCGATCTTTAAAAAAGGAGATACGAATGACCCAAGTAATTATAGACCAATATCATTGATACCGGTATTCTCCAAAATTTTTGAGTATCTGTTAAAAAATCAAATCCAAAACTATTTTGATTCCAAAAACTTATTGATTGATAATCAATATGGATTTAGGAAAGGCAAATCTACAACAGCAGCTTGTCTACAAATGATTGACAACATAATCGAGGGTCTTGAGGAGCGGCATTTTGTGGGAACACTCTTTTGCGATCTCTCCAAGGCCTTTGATTGTGTTTCACATGACATTCTGCTGAAAAAACTAAATTATTATGGTTTCAGTGATATTGGTCTACTTTTTATGGAAAGTTATCCAAAGGGTAGACGACAGATGACTTTTTATGGGGGTGAGGTGTCTGAGGTGAAGGCCATTAAATGTGGGGTTCCTCAGGGATCACTACTAGGTCCATTGCTATTTATAATTTACATAAATGATATACCAACAATCACACCAAATGCTCTGATTTTGTATGCAGATGATACCACCATAACAACTTCTTCAAGGAACTTAGTTGACGTAAGATCTAGTCTAAATATCGATATGCAAAATGCCAAAAGTTGGTTCACTGCCAACTGCTTAAATCTGAACGTCCAAAAAACCGAACAAGTTATTTTCTCGCTTAGAAGTCATCAGGATCTGGCTCTGTGTGAAGTTAAATTTCTAGGAATTAAAATTGATACAGAGTTAAGATTTGAAGCCCATGTCAATTTTATTTCCCCTAAAATATGCAAAAACATTTTCCTTTTAAAAATATTATACAATAATGTAAATACAGAACTGTGTAAAACAGCATATTATTCCCTAATATACTCAGTATGCACTTATTCAATATTAAGTTGGGGGCATAGTACTCATACAAATAGGGTATTTGGACTTCAGAGGAGAGCAGTTAGGATTTTGGCCAATGTTTCTTACAGAGCCGATGCCAAACAGGCATTTATAGACAATAATATACTTACTCTGCCATGTTGCTATATATTGGAATGCCTTATATATGCAAGAGTGAATCAGTATACATATAATACAAGAAGCCAACTTCACAGCTATAACACAAGACATAATAATGATCTAAACATTGAATTTTTGCGTTTGAAAAGATCGTGGAATGCCACTCGTTACTATGTACCTACTTTTTACAATAAGTTACCTGACAGAATAAAAACTCTGAGTTTAAAATCTTTTAAACAAACTATTAAAACCTACCTGCTAAAAAATGCCTTTTATAGTATACAGGAGTTTTTAAACAGTGATTTGCGTAATGCGTTTATTTAATTATTCCTTTTTTGATTGTATCGTTTTTTAACATTACGGAATACAATTTTTAATGTGTAATATTTCTACTAACATATCTTGAATTTTATTGTTATTTTAATGTTTTATTTAAATCTATTTTGTATTTTTCTGACATGTGCAAAAGTTTGTAAAAATTTAATGCATGAATAAACTATCTATCTATCTATCTATCTATCATATAATCTGAACCTCAACATAACTTAATCCATCGCAATCTTGGTACTGCGCAATAAAAGATTACGATGGATTAAGTTATGTTGAAGTTCAGATTATAGGGTTATTGGGGGTGGGTGGTATGGTTTAATTATTAAACTTTAATATATCAGATCATAAGGTTATTATGGATTAACAGATTCGGTTACGGGATTATTTGGCTATGACATATAGATTAAGTTCAATTGCTTGAGTTGTGGTCATTGGGATAAAGTTATTGTGAATAAACAGCTTCGGTTATAAGGTTTATGGTTTTAAAAAGGCCTATTAGCTTGGTTTATTAGGTTATTTGAGGTTATCTTGAAAACCTGACGTGATGGGGTTAAACGGGCTCCGGACGTTCCCAGGTAGCACAACGTGACGAGTTGTGTCCATTGTGTCCAATTAGACACAAATCGTCACGGTTTCGTCACGTTGTGCTACCTGGGTTACCAAGTCATGCACTGTGTAGACAACTGTTAAACTTTGCTACCGCCAACTGCTACTATTAAACAAATACTATAGCTATGTGTATTAAGAGCGCAAAGTAATTTATTGTCGCTCTGAGCGAGAGGATTTTTTCTACAACCGGTGTTTTTATAAAAATGTTTGGTAATAATTAATAATTATTATCACCCATAATATAACAAGTGGTATGATTATCATCTATGATATTTTCGAATTGAAACCGAGCTGCAGGACGAGTGAAATGTTTTGCTTTGGTTTCAATGAGTAAATATCATCGATAATTAATCATACCACGAGTTATATTTAGTAAAAAAATATAATGAATTTTACGATTGTCAGTTTGACATTTGAAATTAAAATGTGCTTTAAAATATAAAAAGACTTTAATAAATCTTATTTATTCAAAGTTACCTTAATTTTATTATCGTTTACACCAACCACTCGATCTTTTAGAGTTTATAATTCATTATTTTATTCATTTAACAAATACAGTATTTAAATGTCCACAAATGTCAAATCAAGAAAAGTGTCAAAATCCTTAGCAACATGTAGACAAGGTTATACAAAATATTGTCGCTGTGATAAAATGCGTAACCATGGAATACTGGCATTTTATTGGTTCTAATTATAATGAATTGTATTGTCAATCAATTATTATCAAATTTGACTTTTGTGTCAAAAGTCGCAGTATATACTAGACGTTTCGTTATTATGGTTTACATATTAACTAAGCGAGCGTTTTAGTTACATTGTCGTTCGGTGAGCGACAAAGTAAAGAAACATTTGCTCCTGCAACTTTACGCTTTATTTTGGAAGCGCAAATTTGTACTTTTCGCTCGGTTGTAGAAAAAAAATATTATGACAATTTCTCTCCTTTTATTTTGATACTCATATCAAAGCGGCAAAAGGCGCCTTATAGCGGCCGAAAGCGTCATAGGGCTCTAATGCGGCCGACGCAAAGAAAGGCGGTAACTTTTATCCTATATATGTTTAAGTATTTTTTTATTTGCAAGAAAGTTTATCGTTACAAAGTATACTGATTAACCCTTTGATTGATTTTGCGCCCCCAAAATGTTGCGCCTGCGTGCGTGCACGCACTGCACGCTCGCCAGGAACGGCCCTGCGGCCATGACATTTATTGCAGATGTCAGTGAGATGTTTTTGTGTGAAATGTTAAAAAATTAAATTCATTAATTTTTAATTGTCCAAAACTAGTTGCAATATAAACATATAAAAAAGCAGGGAGCTATGATTTAAAATAAATTATAGATATATTTTTTATATGTTTATATTGCAACTAAACTGCGCACCACTCAATGTGTCGCGACCAAAAAGTTCGTTCTTTTTCAAAACGACATAACTTTTTTGTTTCTTAAACGATTTAATTTTGGTTTGTGATGTCTGCTAGCCTCATCCTCTGGTAATTTATGCTATAGATATGAAGCTCACGGTTGGTCAAGTAAACTTCCTACAGGGTGATATGTTAAACGGTGAAAAATTTCAATAACTTTATCCAAGCCCCGTTTGTAAAAAAATATTTTTTT